GGAGGACTGTCTGAGCTCAGGAGTTTGAGACCAGCCTGGGCAACACGGTGAAACCCCATCTCTACTAAATAATGCAAAAAAATAACTGGGCGTGGCAACATGCACATGTAGTCCCAGCTATTCGGGAGGCTGAGGCAGGAGAATGGCTTGAACCCAGGAGGCGGAAGTTGCAATGAGCTGAGATCACATCATTGCACTCCAGTCTGGGCAACAGAGTGGGACTCCATCTCGAAAAAAGAAGAGAGAAAAAAAAAAGAGAAAAAAATTTAAAAAGGTTCCTTAGTCTGCAGAGCCAGTGTCCTTTGCCTCTCTACAATATTGCCTTTAATGGACACTTTGCTTTTTAAAATTCTTCTTTATTTGATAGTTTGATAACATATTTTCATTGATCTTTCTCTAATTTCTAATGAAAATAAACTTCAATAAGTTAAATAATCATTCATAGTTCAAGTGTGAGTGTTCTTTTTCTTTGCAAATTTATCTATCAAACCCTTCATGTGTTTCTTATTGACTTTATTGACTTCAGAAATATCAAATATGCTGACCCTATATTTCTTGTATTTATTGCAAATACTTTTCTAAGTTTTTTTGAGTAAATGCCAAAAATATTACAGAAATAAATTTTGACTATTTTTAATATGTTCAAATCTGTATATTTCCTTTTACTTTTCCTCTGTTGCTTTTAGGTTAGAAAGCCCATCATGTAAATTATAAATATTTGTTAAATATATGCCCATATGGTCTTCTAGCTTTGTTTTATAGGTTGCTTTTTTTTTTTTTTTTTTAAACCAGGGTCTTACTGTGTTACCCAGGCTGAAGTGCCGTGGTGCATTCATAACTTACTGTAACCTGGCCTCAAGCAATTTCACCTGCCTGAGCCTTCCAAGTAGCTAGGACTGCAGAAGTGCACCACCATGTGCAGCTAAATTTTTTAATTTTTTTGTAGAGACAGCGTCTCATTATGCTGCCCAGGCTGGTCTGGAACTCCTGGCTTCAAGTGACCCTTCTGCATGGTCCTTCCAAAGTGCTGGGATTACAGGCAGGAGTCACTGCACCCAGCCTCTGTTTTGTTTTGTTTTGTTTTCCCCTTTCTGATAGCAGGTTACGTCCATGGTATATGATACGTGTTATCAGTGAATACTTAATTCTTTTCCCAAATCTTAGCCACTTGTTCTAGCATCATTTATTGTATAAAGTTTCATTTGTTAAAAACAATATAGACCTGGGATAGCACATTGGGAGGCTGAGACAGGAGGATCACTTGAGCCCAGAAGTTTGAGACCAGCCTGGGCAACACAACAAAACCCTGTCTGTGGTTTTTTTTTTTTTTTTCAAAGAGAAAACAATATATTGATATAGGATGCCTCTTTTATCATATATTAAGACTATGCATATATGTATATACATGTGTGTCTGTGTATATATATTTTATAATATTTAGATCAGTATAGTAGCTATTTTAAAATATTTCTCATATATATAATGTGTGTATATGTGCATATAACTTATAAATAGAGTCAGCCCTTCATATCCGTGGGTTCTGAATCTGGATTCAACCAACTGCAGATGGAAAATATTTGACAAAAAAAAATTTTTTTAACCTACATTCTCCTGTATACTTAAATCATCTCTAGATTACTTATAATACCTACTACAATGTAAATGCTATGTAAATCGTTGTTATACTGTATTTTTTAGGGAATAATTACAAAAAAAGTCTACATATTCAGTATAGACAAAAAATTTTTTTCTCAAATAGTTTCCATCTGCAATTGGTTGAATCCAGATTCAGACCTATGGATGTGAAGGGCTGACTGTATTATATGTTATGTACACACATATACATATTACATATATGAGAAATTTTTTGTATGTGACGGAGTCTTGCTCAGTCACCAGGCTAGAGTGCAGTGGCGCGATCTCGGCTCACTGCAACCTGTCTCCCAGGTCCAAGCGATTCCCCTGCCCCAGCCTCCTGAGTAGCTGGGGCTATAGGCACGCACCACCACACCCAGCTAGTTTTTTGTGTTTTAGTAGAGATAGGGTTTCACCATGTTGGCCAGGATGGTCTCTATCTCCTGTCCTCGTGATTCACCCGCTTTGGCCTCTCTTTCTCTCTGAATTTTTCATTAGGTTTTCTTGAGTTTTCTAATTAGATAAACATAATATGCGAGCAACAGTGCCCCTCTTTCCTGTAGTTACCTCTCTCGTTTTCATTTTATGCCTCACTACATGTGCTAGAATTTCCAGAATTTTCCATGGCAAATACCAGGAGCCACCATCCCAGACTTGCTCTGGACCTCAACAGGACAGTCTTGCATTGTTAAATATTTTGTTGACTCTTGGTTTAAGATATCGCATTCTATAACTAGCTTATTTAGAACTTTTAATCAGAAATGAGTACTGGGTTTTCTAAAACTTGTTTCCAGCATCTGTTGAAATTGCCACAGTTTTTTTCACCATTAGGCCTGTTTCTATGTGGTATATATTAGTAGATATTGTATTAAACCATTTTTACATTCTTATTATAAAATCTGGATGCTCAGAGTGGATTAATATTTTACTATTCTACTGAATTATATTTCTTAGAATTTTACTTGGGAATGTGTTCACCTCTCTTCATAGAGTTAATTTTTATGCTATATTATCATTTTTTTTTTCTGATCATGTTAGCCTCATAAAATGACTGGGTAGCTTTCCATCTTTTCTGTGTTCTGAAATTCTGGTTCAGCCTGGGGAATTATCTTTCCCTGAAAGTTTGGAGGAACTACCTACAAAATGTTAGAACACTTTTCAGAGAGCATTTTTTCTTTTTCAAATTTTTTAAATTATTCCTTGTTTATAATTGACTCATAATCACTGTACCAATTTATCATGTGCAGTGTGATGTTTCAGTGCATGCATGCGTTGTATAAATGATCCTATCAGGGTAATTACCATATTCCTCACTTTAAACATTGATCATTTCTTTGTAAAGATAACATTTAAAACCTTCTCTTCTATCTTGAATTATACACTATATTGTTCTTTGCAGAGATCATACTCTAATGATAAAGGAGTTTGGTGCAGCAGTGAAGGGCCCAAGCTCTGGAGTCAGATTGCCTGGGTTTGGATTCCAATTTGGCCATTTACTATGCCTTTGAAAGTTTACTTAACTTTTCTTAAGCCTCAATTTCTTATCTGCAAGCTCTGATACTGTTGCACTACCTCATAAGGTCAATGTAAGGATTATGTAAGATAATTTATTTAATGCTTTAAATATAGTACAGATAGTAAAAAAAAAAAATAGCCATTATTTTCCATTTACTTCAGAGTTATTGGTACATTTTGGTGTTTCCACTTTTCCTTATGACAATTATGTTATTAGTATTTTTCAAGAAAGTTGTCTATTTAATTTAGATTTTCAAATGTATTGAAGTTGTTTATGATATTTTTAAAATCTTCATTATCTTTGCTTGCGTTTTTATTTTGCAGTATTCAGATTTTTACAAAAACAGACGCATGTTATTGGTTTTGTCCACTCTCTTCTCCACCCTCTACCTCTATTGCTTGACCTGTGTTATGAATACTATTTCTACATTTTTCTATGCTGTTTTTTTTGGGGGGGCGGTTCTGTTTTTGTTCATTTTCCAATCTCCTATACTGAATTCAGTTCATAATTCCTTTTAAAAAAGAGAGAATACATTTAATAATACACATTTGCCTCCACATAAAGTTTTACCCATACCTCTTTTTTTGATATTTCTCATTTTATTCTTTCCTATCATTATTTTAGTTCAGTTTTGGTTTACTATTTACTAAGCAGCATTTTGTTTTATCAGTATCTCCTTGCATAAACTTACTTTTCTTATTTTTCTAAGTGTGATATGTTTCAAATATACAGAAAAGTATAGGGATAATATACTTGGAATAAATTTTCATATCTAATGTTATTGATTGTGATCAGAAAATGAAATCTAGATACTTTGTTTTAATATATGGAGATTTTTATAGTGGACTTAGTATAGGATCAGAGCTTTAAGGTATATTCTGTTATGTGGTACACAGTTAGTTGTTACAAAAAGTATATAAAAATCTAATAAGTTGAATTAATCATTATGATTTTGCTTACTTGAACTGTAGTCAAGTGTTAAATATTACTGGAGGCGTTTTGTCCTATTTATAACAGTTTATCTGTTTTATCAAGATTGCTACTATTCTGTTTTTTTAATAAGTTAATTGCCCTTTATCCATGCTTTGAAAGTTTATTAAGATTTTCTGTCCAGGCGGGTATGGCTCACGCCTATATTCCCAGCACTTTGGGAGGCTGAAGAGGGCAGATCACCTGAGGTCAGGAGTTTGAGGCCAGCCTGACCAATATGAAACTGCATCTCTACTAAAAATACAAAATTAGCTGGACATGGTGGTGCACACTTGTAATCCCAGCTACTTGGGAGGCTGAGACAGGAGAATTGCTTGAACCTGGGAGGTGAAGGTTGCAGTGAGCCCACAATGCCACTGCATTCCAGCCTGGGCGACAGAGCAAGACTCCCTCTCAAACACAAATATTTTCTTAGAAATGTCGGTCAGGATGGGCGCTGTGGCCCACGCCTGTAATCCCGGTACTTTGGGAAGCCGAGACAGGCAGATCACAAGGTCAGGAGATCGAGGCCATCCTGGCCAACATGGTAAAACTCCGCCTCTATTAAAAAGAAATACAAAAATTAGCTGGGTGTTGTGGTATGTGCCTGTAATCCCACCTACTCAGGAGGCTGAGGCAGAAGAATTGCTTGGACCAGGAAGTCAGAGGTTGCAGTGAGCCAAGATCACACCACTGCACTCCAGCCTGGCGACAGAGTGAGACTTCGTCTCAAAAAAAAAAAAAAAGGAAATGTCATGGTCAAATCTTTAATGGAATTTTCTATAGGGGGACAAATTCAATCTAGAATCTAAATTTTTCTTGCTAGGATCTTCAGACCATTATTACATAATTGCTTGTATATATTTGCCTTTTTGTTTAGTTTTTCGATGAAGAGTCCCGCTACCACTGTGCCCTAATACTCAACCTCCAAAAATCACCTTTTACTGGGACGTGGAATTTTACATCCTGCAGTGAACGCCATTTTGTGTCTCTCTGTCAGAAATATTCAGGTACCAATTATTATCTAGATAGCTATTGTATTTTATGCTGTCATATATATATATATATATATGGGTTGAAAATTTACCTATTGGGTACAGTGCTTACCACCTGGGTCTAATACACCACATAACAATCCTACACATGTACCACTGTTTCTAAAATGAAAGCTGAAAAAAAATTAATACTATAAATGAATACATATTAATTTATAATCGTGCCTTAAAATTTCATCATGACTAAATCCTTGTTGGCTTAGTGAGTCAGATTATATCAAATGGAACATGATTTTTTTAAAAGATCATTGCCATAATTAATTAATTATATCTGATGGAATTTGTTTTGTTTTGTTTTGTTTTGTTTTGTTGAGACAGAGTCTCACTCCATCACCAGGCGCCAGGCTGGAGTGCAGTGGCCCCACCTTGGCTCACTGCAACCTCCACCTCCCGGGTTCAAGCAATTTTCCTGCCTCAGCCTCCTGAGTAGCTGGGACTACAGGCATGCGTCACCACACCCAGCTAATTTTTTTGTATTTTTAGTAGAGACGGAGTTTCACCATGTTGGCCAGGATGGTCTCGATCTCTTGACCTCGTGATCCGCCCACCTCGGCCTCCCAAAGTGCTGGGATTACAGGCATGAGCCACCGCACCCGGCCTCTGATGGAATTTGTTAATAGCAGTTATCCGATTATAGTACTGTAATTGAATTTTGTTCTTTTTTTCTACTCTGGCATTTTTTAGATTTTACTTTTTATTATAGGAAAAGGAGAAGAAAAAACTTCATATTTTTAATTGAGTGAAGTATTGAGCATTAAGTCTAGTAATAGTATTCACTGTTAAGTTTAGCATTAAAAAATAAACAAATGGGGATCTGAAACATTATAAACAGATCAGGGTCTATGTATTTTCATAATCCAAATAAAAGTAGAATGCATACTTAAAAGTAGGAACCATCCATATTTTGAAAAAAATATTGTTTAAAAGGTATTACGTTATTTTTCATTCATCACAATGTGTTCTTAACAAATGATTAAGAAAAAATTTTGTCATGTAATGAGAACTGTATGTGCTTTGGCAGAATTTTTTTTTGCTAAATTAATCTTTATCCATTTTTCCCATGTTTTTTACTAACTGCTTTATTAGCAAAGTACTATAAAGCAATAATTCAATTACATCCTCTTGTAGGTGGTTTCTTACATTTCTTCATGCTAGCTCTCCCAGGTGAAAACTTTGTAAGGGGATACTTAATACAGTTATTTCCTTGTTGAAGTAGTTCAAACAAAGAGGTATTTAGCACCAACATGACATGATAATGCAGGTTACACTTATTTGCAGGTTTTCTCTTTCCTAAATCAGACACAACAGAATTTTGTTCTAATTTTAGAAAACAAACATTGCAGCTCATACATTTTACGTAAGATATACAGTAAGATATACCTAATTTTATCACCCAAAATCTAAAATAAATAAATAGGTAAATAATATCTAAAGTAGATTGGTATGGGGAGAAATTTGAAAAAAAAAGTCCCATAACTTGCAGGCTGCGGGGAAGGGCTTGTGTTGTTGTTGTTGTTGTTTTCTTTTACATACAGAAGTTAAAGGCAGACCGACCTTGCAGAATGTTTCAGAAACTGTAAAGTATCTAAATAATCTGTACAAAATAATCCCGAAGACTCTGACTTGGCACAATGCTCAAAGGGAGTGTCTGAAAAATAACATGCAACTGGTGAGCATCACGGACCCTTACCAGCAGGCATTCCTCAGCGTGCAGGCGCTCCTTCAAAACTCTTCCTTATGGATCGGACTCTCCAGTCAAGACGTAAGTTGTCAGTCCCAACTGCCAGGACTGGGTGATGGAAAGTGACATTTTTTATTATGCGTAGCATCTCTCGTATCAGACTAAAACAAACAGGGAGTTTTTATTTTGTTTTGAGACAAGGTCTCACTCTGTCACCCAGGCTGGAGTACAGTGGTGCGATCACACTTCACTGCAGCCTTGACTTCCCGGGCTCAAGCAATCCTCTCACCTCAGCCCCCTGAGTAGCTGGGACTACAGGTACACAACATCATACCTGGCTAATTTTTGTGTTTTTGGTTTTGCCATCTTGTCCAAGCTGGTCTCAAACTCCTGAATTCAAGCAGTTGCCCACTTTGGCCTCTCAAAGTGCTGGGATTCTGGAGTTTGCGACCAGCCTGGCCAACATGGTGAAACCCTGTCTCTACTAAAAATACAAAAATTAGCCAGTTGTCACGTTGGGCATCTGTAATCCCAGCTACTCGGGAGGCTGAGGTATAAGAATCGCTTGAACCTTGGAGGCAGAAGTTGCAGTGAGCCGAGACCATGCCATTGCATTCCAACCTGGATGACAGAGATTCCATCTCAAAATAAATAATGAATTAATAAATAAATTAAATACACCCAGATGAAGCCAGAAGTTCGGGAAGCTGCTTACCCCGCCCTCATAGTCTCAACTGTTTCATAGCATTGCATTTACTTGCTTTATCTTCAGTATTGGGAATTCTGTGAAATGCATTGTTGTGTCTGTTGTGAGGAAGCAGTAAGTGATTACATTTCCTAGTTTCAGTCACCCTAAATCTTTTGAGACAAAAACAACATTGCAATATAGAAAATTTGTCAAGAATAGTAAATTAAAAGAACAAAATTAAAGTCACCTGTAATCCCAGTACCTAAAAATAAACATGATTCAATATTTTGATATGGATCTTTCAAGTTATTTTTCTATGTGTACATTTTTATATTTTAGACAACTGGGGTCAGACTATTTTGTAACTCCCCGCCCCGCCCCCACCACTTAATGATTTGGGTCTTATTTCTTATCCTATTTTCAACCTTTACCTATGATTCTCTTTTCTTTTTTACACTTAACTTTAACATATTCTGTGTAGCTGTTTATATATGCTAATAGCTGCCTAAGTTTTTTGAACATGACAAAATGTTAATAATACTTTATATTGAAAGCAACAAAAAGATATTGAAAGCTTTTAAACAAAGTAGTAACAATATAAGATTTTACTTAAGTAGAAGACATTGTGTGGAAGTTTGAGGAGGATGCAAGCCGCTGGAGAGAGGAAGAGCAGTCATTTTTCTATAGATTCATGTAGGAAAGGACGTTGGCCTTTACAGTGTCCCAGGTGCAGTAGCTCTGGGTTATGTAAAGTGCAGTGTGGCCATGCAGTGGGTCACTCAAGTGAAGAAGTAAAACTACATAGAATTAGAGGACGTCAAGAAGGCTTGGAAATCTGAACACAGGCATCCCAAGTCAATGGTAGAGCCAGGAGGACAGAGCAAGACTTAGGACATCTTAGTGAATGCCAGGGAGGAGCAAGGCAGCCTAGTCCACAGTGAATGTCATGGGGAGTTTGCAGTGATACAAAGGGAATAATCCTCAAAGGAAATGACCAAAGGACATAAAAACATCCACTACTCCTTTCTCATAGCCCTGTGGTATCTGAGAATGGAATATCAAATAGCCTTCCCCTGTGGGTGCTGAAAGAGTATTCCCTTGGAAAAGCCATATTTATATATTTATTTAAGATTCAGGGGGTATATGTGCAAGTTTGTTTCAATATATATACTGTGGGATGTTGAGGCTTGGGCTTCAACTGAACCTTCATCCGAATAGTGAACACAGTACCCAATAGGTAGTTTTTCAACCCTTGTTCCACTCCCTCCCTCCCCACTTTTAGAGTCCCCAGACGCTATCATTCCCATCTTTATGTCCTTGTGTACCCAATATTTAGCTCCCACTTATATAAGTAAGAACATGCGGTATTTGGTTTTCTGTGCCGGCATTGATTCACTTAGGATAATGTCCTCCAGCTATATTCATGTTGCTGTAAAGGACATGATTTTGTTCTTTTTTATGGCTGCACTGTATGCCATCATGTATATGAGCTGCTACATTTTCTTGATCCAATCCACTGTTGATGGGCATCTAGGTTGATTCCATGTCTTTGCTGTTGTGAATAGTGCTACAATAAACATACGAGCGAAGGTGTCTTTTGGTAGAATGATTTATTTTCCTTTGGGTATATACCCAGTAATGGGATTGCTGGGTTGAATGGTAATTCTATTTTTGTTCTTTGAGAAATCTCCAAACTACTTTCCACAGGGGCCGAACTAACTTATGATCCCACCAACAACGTGTGAGCATTCCCTGGTAAAGCCAGGCTTAAATTAAGATCAAGAGTTTAATAAAAAGATATTTATAGTCTTAATATTTTGTATTCAATAAAGGATAGAAGGCATGGGATGGATTTATTTAGATAGAACGGAAATTCCAAAGGATCAGGGACAAGGTTAGGTGGGAAGTACAGCAAAGGGGAAGAAATGCTGGGCAGGATGGATGAGTACAGGCAAAGTCACACTGCCGAAGGGCCACTCTGGAGGCCTCAGTGGCTTAGGCATTAACTGGGTTAGGATTAGGGGCTAGGATTACAGCTGGCTCTGGTCATGAACATTTCAGAATGAAGCAGCTAGTGGTATTGAGGCTTGACTGTGTTGTTATTTATGGTTCACTAAGGAAACAGTGTGGCTTCATTCAATATTTCAAATAAACTAGTGATGTAGACTGCCTTGGGTCTCAGGAAAGCTTAGTTCAGTGGATCTATTAGGCCAGCACCAAACCCAGCAGTGAGTATGCAAGGCCCTGTGCTCTGGCAGCACCATGGGGAAGCTCAGAGAGGCCTGTACCCATCTCCTGTACCTAGAGATGGATTGTGGGGTACAGGCCTCTCTGAGCTTCCCCATGGTGCTGCCAGGACCTTCCCAGGGTATAAAGGCAGATGTTCACAGACTTCTAGCACATAGTAGAATCTAGTGAATGAAGAAGCTTCTCTCCCCAATGACAAGTGTGAAAACTGGTGTGAGATCCAAAGCACATGAGGAGTTAAGAGAAAGGAAACCACCAGCTCTCTGTGTGCCAGCTAGCCCCTGGATTGCAGGATTTACACATGTTATCCCATTAATTCCAGCCCCATGAAATTAAGCGTCACAATCTTTTTATTGATGGGGGATGGAAATTTGGAGAGGTGTACACATGAAAGCTAGCAAGTGACTGAATCGGAATTCAAAACCAAGTCGGCTTAGCTCCATAGTCCATATTCTTTCTGCTGCGCCAGGTTGTCACTGATGTAATCAGCGCCTACAGTGATCTTCCCCTATTTTAGCTTTCTGATTTTCAACAACAAATGGTTCCAGTTATGTGTGAGGCAGCACAGCACAACGGTTAGGACATAGACTCTAGGGATTGACAGCCTGGCTAAGAAGCCCAGCACTGTGGTTTGTATTCTGTCGGACTTTGCACAAGTTGTATACCTTTAGTTTCTTCATCTTTAAACTGGAGATAATAATAGTACTTCTCTTATAAGGTTGTTACAAGGATTAGTAAACCAATATTTATAAAGTGCAATGCTTATTACATAGTAAGTGCTATGTAAATGTGTATTAAATATAAAAGAAAATTAAAAATCATTAGATTGACCATGAGAGTCAAAATAATACAATGGGATAACATGAATATTGCCACTTTAAATGTATTTCTGCTCCTTACAGGATGAACTCAACTTTGGTTGGTCAGATGGGAAACGTCTTCATTTTAGTCGCTGGGCTGAAACTAATGGGCAACTTGAAGACTGTGTAATATTAGACACTGATGGATTCTGGAAAACAGTTGATTGTGATGACAATCAACCAGGTGCTATTTGCTACTATTCAGGAAGTATGTGAATTTCGGATATTTTAATTCTTAAATTATTAACAGCCTTATAAGTGGTAGAATTTCTGGGGAGTGGTTTTGTAAAATCTGGTTTTGGAATTGTGAAGAAATTATAATCATGCCTTTTTATAGCAACACTTGTTGTGAAAATTTGCATTCAAGGAGAATTACATATTAACTATATTATTATTAATGAGTTATTTTATGCATGTTTTATTTTTATGTCAGTTGACAATGGGGATTAACACTTTAAAGTCCCATTATTACCTTACCTCTTTCTGCGTATATTTATACTTATAGAAAGCTTACATTTGTGAGAGTTCTTTTGTGATTCATAATATTACCAACTAACATGACTTTTATGAATCACTCTTAAGATTCCATTGGTTGTAAGTAACAGCAACCACCTCAAGCTAGCTTAAGACAAGGGGAAATTTAGGATCCCTAAAACAGGGATAGAGCTGAACCTATAACTGGAGATGAGTTGACAATTTCTAAATTTCACTTTGTAAATTGGAGAAAATCTCATAAACTTAGCCTGAGTCAGATATGTAATCTCTAGCCCAGTCAGAGGAAAGTGTTTTTACAACTGTCAAGGTCACATTTGTCGGTTTCTGGTAGAAAGAAGACACTACTTCATGGACAAAGGGATTATCGTGATCCGGGAGAGATACTGAGTGATCTCTACTACATATTAAGCCAGTTTAATTTATTTGAGTGGAATATGTCTATATTTGCATCTTTGTGAATGTATGGCCTTTTTATAAAATGGAAGAAGATTATAATCAGATATTATAGATATCAGATTTTAAATAGTATTTCTGTTTGACTTGGTTAAAGCAATAACTTATTTAGAACATCAAGTGTTTCATTTAAATAAATCTTCCTATAAAATTAATAGTGTCAGTAGACAGAAACTGAAAATGAATTCTCAAAGTTATAGTTAGGTGACTTTTAATAATAAATATGTTTGTACAGTATCTCTGGGGTGTCCCTTGTACTTGACATTTGGTAATGCAGGAAGAGAGAAACTGCATTTAACCTAATAGCACCTCATTTTTCACATTCTTCCATGCCACAGCAGGGGTAAGAAAATTGTGTCAAGTAATTTCCTTCCTAGAGAAAGCTAGCTTTTTGTATGCTGTGTCTGAGTATAAACAGAGAACAGGCTTCACCAGGATATTACTTCTTGGCTTCCTGAGTATTTCCTACAAATCAAGCCTAATGACTGTGAGCAGGATTTAACATATTTATCTCAAATTAGAATTCTTGCCATTAACTCTTTTTCTAGATGAGACTGAAAAAGAAGTCAAACCAGTTGACAGTGTTAAATGTCCATCTCCTGTTCTAAATACTCCATGGATACCATTTCAGAACTGTTGTTACAATTTCATGATAACAAAAAATAGACATATGGCAACAACACAGGATGAAGTTCAGTCTAAATGCCAGACATTGCGTAAGTATTGTATTAGTCTGTTCTCACACTGCTATAAGGACATACCTGAGACTGGGTAATTTATAAGGAGAAAGAGGTTTAATGGACTCACAGTTCTACATTGCTGAGAAGGCCTCACTGAAAGTTATAGTTAGGTGACTTTTAATAATAAATATGTTTGTACAGTATCTCTGGGGTGTCCCTTGTACTTGACATTTGGTAATGCAGAAAGAGAGAAATCATGGCAGAAGGCAAAGTAGAAGCAAAGGCAGCAGGCAAGAGAGCATGTGCAGGGGAACTGCCCTTTTTAAAACCATCAGATCTCATGAGACTTACCCACTATCATGAGAACAGCATAGGAAAAACCCGGCCCCATGATTCAATTACCTCCCACCAGGTCCCTCCCATGGCATGTGAGGATTATGGGGGAGCTACAATTCAACATGAGATTTGGATGGGGACACAGCCAAACCATATCAAGTGTATTATACTGTCCTTACTTATTGTATTTTGCTAACTAACAAAATATGTCCTTTGTTGTAAATATTTCTAATTAGCACTAGTAACTAGATGTCAAGAATATTCATCTCCTAATATCTACATTATCAGTGACAAAGTGTTAAAATTTGTGTTTAGTTAAAATGGAGAGTATAGGCATAACTCCTTTCTTTACTCATCCATTCAAGAACTAGTCTATGTTTGTATGGAAAGTGGGTTCTTCTTTAAAAGTAAAAGAAATAGGTTAGGCACAGTGGTTCATGCCTGTAATCTTAGTTCTTTGAAAGGCTGAAGTGGGAGAATTGCTTGATGCAGGCATTCAGGACCAGCCTGGGAACATACTGGGAGCTTCTCTCTACAAAAATTAAAAGCATGGTGGCACATGCCTATAGTTCTAGCTACTTGGGAGGCTAAGGAGGGAGGATCGTTTAGCCCAAGACGTTGAAGTTGCAGTGGGCTGTAATTGCACCACCTGCACTCCAGCCTGGATGGCAGAAGGAGACCCTATCTCCAAAGAAAAGGAAGAGGGAAAGAAACGACACACAAGAGAGCAGAGTACTGGACATTAAATCAAGCTAGGCTGTGGGGAAGTGAAAATCGGTTAGTTGGAGCTGTCAAAAGCTTAGATATTCCACAAAGCAGCAGCTGTGATTAAACAAGTGCACATTTCACACTTTCAGTTCTCAAGAGTCTTCAGATAATTCCTTTGAGAGCCACTAAAGATTGGTGACTTCTGAATGATGGAACTGTTGGAACCAATGGAACTATGAACTTTGTCGAAGTTCCTATAGAAAATATCAAACCATTATTCCCCAAAGTGTGCTCTGTATAACACTAGTCTTGAGAGATGTTCTGCAAAAAAATCCTTAGAAGAAGGTTGAAAAAATAACCAACAAAAAAGAAAAAGGTTGAGAAACACTAGACACCGTAGCTTCCTGTTGAACATTAACAAATGTACATTAACATATACTTTAAGAAATACTGGCATAAATAAACTAGTTTAACTTTGTTTAAACCAATGTTTGCAAACTGTTTTTTTAAGCCCTGTAGATCTTTTCTGGAACTTCCTTGTTAATTTTGTGAGGAACACCCTTTGGAAAATATTAAGCCATTTTAACCCTCAGAGTGATAACTAAGGAAAAGGAAGATCTGTCTTATAGCCCAGCAGTCCCCAACCTTTTTGGTACTAACTTATACCAACTGAAAATTATCTTTAAATAGGGGAAAGTGAAGTGAATCAATGTTTTAAATTATCTACTCAACTACTAGTTTTCTATTATATCATAAGACCAAATTTAAAATCAAAACATTTGAAAACTCCTTAACCTATTCATTTTCGTAAAATGGGATACTTTTAATTTATATATCTTTCTAATTTTCCAATATTGTTTAGGTTTCGAAGTATTATATTAAACTGAGAACTAAAATATTTTAAATCTATCAAATAAAGTGTTCTGGATAAGTGATTATTAAAATGATTATGTTTTATTTAACAGATCCAAAAGCACATATTCTGAGTATTCGAGATGAAAAGGAGAATAACTTTGTTCTTGAGCAACTTCTATACTTCAATTATATGGCTTCTTGGGTCATATTAGGAATCACTTATGAAAGTAAGTTGTAAATCTATCAATTTTCTATTTGTTTTTGGACTTTATTATAACCTATTTATCAAGCTATAGTTCTTCAAAGTACATGTCTATCAATACATGAAAGGATAATTATGTACTTAACTTACATAAATACCAAGGCAATTTTTGTGTCTCTGCTCTGCCATTAACATACCTTTATCATTGAATTTAAAGTTAAATGGTAGAAAATAATTTTCTGAATTAGTTTGTTCTCACACTGCTATAAAGAACTACCTGAAACTGGGTAATTTATGAAGAGGATTAATTGAGTCACAGTTCCGCAGGCTGTACAGAAAGCATGGCTGGGAAGCCTCAGGCAACTTACACTCATGTCAAAGGCAAATGGGAAACAAGCATATTTTACTATGGTGGAGCAGGAGAGAGTGAAGGGGGAGGGGCTCCCCACTTTTGAACAACCAGATCTCATGAGAACTCACTATCACGAGAAGTTCACATCCATGATCCAATCACCTCCCACCAGGCCCCTCCTCCAACACTGAAGATCATTAATTCAACATGAGATTTGGGTGGGGACACATAGCCAAACCATATCAGTTTTATTTTTTTCACTCTTTCATCTAGCAACTCAAGACTAACTAAAAATGATCACCATCTCATATAAATCGTCAATACTGATTTTCTGTTTCCACTAACTGTGAGATGAGCGAGAACAGAATCACTCTTCTGTTAATGTTGCACCTTTGGGTTTATAATGCTGACTTGGGTTATATTGGCTTACATGTAATAAGCATTAGAAAAATAAGACACATGGCTAGACGCAGTGGCTCACGCCTATAACCCCAGCACTTTGACTTAATTTACATCCATAAGTCACTGTTTTGGGTTACTTTGATATACTTATAGAATATTTAATTGTTTATTTGGCATCTACACAAAGAATTTTGCTTTTTAAAACATTTTCGACTTTTCAATAGCACAGCCATGACTAGAAATTACTATGAGAAACCACAGTATGTCAACTGAGAGATATATTAAGCCAAGGGAAAATGTGACTTTTTCACATCATATTGGTCAGAAAATTGATAACTTTGACGTCTGAAACAGGGGAAGAGGAACTGAGAGACATGAGATGATGTAAAGCAGCAAACAAGAGCCACATCGTGTGTGTAGTGCTTCTAATGTGCCATTGCTGCAGGCAGATGTTTAGGGGTCTTGCCTTGGGAGATTGTAATCAGTCTACTTTTTTTCTACAAAAAAGTAGAAATAACCAGGACAACACTGGATATGTGCAGGTAGTGATGGCATCACTCTTTATACCAATTTATAATTTTAATAAACATAGCACCTTTTTTAAAGCTTTATTGCAACCATCACTACCCCAAAAAGAAACACAATACATATTAGCAATCCTCCCCCCCTCCCAGTCCTCAGCAACCACTGATCTACTTTCTGTCTCTACAGATTGCCTGAATATAAAATTTTGGACATTTTATATAAATGAGAGCATACAATGTGTGATTTTTGTATGTGACTGGCTTTTCCCATTAGCATAAAGATTTTAAGGTTTATCCATATTGTAACATGTATCAGTACATTATTCCTTTTTATGACTAAGATTCCATTCTATAGATGCAATACATTTTATTTATCCTGTATCCATTGATGGACGTTTAGGTAAAACAACCTAAATTTTAAACCATTTTTAGTTATTGTGTATAATCCTTCTCTGAACATTTACTACAAGTTTTTGTGTAAACATATGCTTCTATTTATCTTGAGTAAACCCCTAGGAATGGAATTGCCGCATCTTTTGTTTAACCTTTGAAGAACTACCAGGTCGTTTTCCAAAGCAGCTATACCAGTTTCTATTCCCAGTGAATAAGAGTACTGACTTCTCCATATCTATGCCTATATTTGTGTGTTTTTCACTGTAGTCATCCAAGGGAGTATGAAATGATATCTCACTGGGATTTTAATTTCATTTCCCTAATGGCTAATGATGTTAATCATCTTTTCATGTGCTTATTGGATATTTGTATATTACCTTTAGAGAAATACCTATTCAGATATTTCGCTTATTTTTAAAATTAAGTCTTTTTATTGTTGAGGTGTAAGAATTCTTTATATAGTCTGGATATAAGTCCCTTGTCTGATAAATAATTTGCAAATAATTTCTCCCATGACTTTACTGACAGCACAAAAGTGTTTCCCTTTTGTCATCTGTGCATATGTCAGAAGGCTTTGCTTATTCCAAGGTTCTGAAGACTTACTCCTGTTTTCTTTTTCTTTCTTTTTTTTTTTTTTTTTTGACAGAGTTTTGCTCTTGGCACCCAGGCTGCGGTGTTGGAGTGGCATGATCTCAGCACACTGCAACCTCCACCTCTTAGGTTCAGGCTGTTCTCCAGCCTCAGCCTGCCAAGTAGCTGGGATTGCAGGCACCCGCCATTACACCCGGCTAATTTTTGTATTTTTAGTAGAGACGGAGTTTCACCATGTTGGCCAGGCTGCTCTCAAAATCCTGACCTCAGGTAATCTGTCCACCTCAGCCTCCCAAAGTGCTTTGATTACATGTGTGAGCCACCACGCCCAGCCTCCTATGTTTTCTTCTAAGGATTTTATAGTTGCAGCTCTTACATTTATGTTTGTGATCTACTTTGAGTTAATATTTGTGTGTGGTGAAAGGAAGGGTTCCAATTTCATTTTTTTTTTTTTTTTTTTTGCTTATGGGTATCCAGTTTAGAAGACTATTTTTTCCACACTAAATTATTTTGGCATCCTTCTTAAAAATCAGTATGCATAATTGTATAGAGTTTATGTCCAGAGAAGAGATTTCTGTGGCTAATTTTATAACTTATCAATCATGTTTTAAATGAATAAAATAGTTATACTAATTTCCATTGCAATTAAATATATAAGAGAAAATAATATTTTTGTATTTAAATAGGTTTTTGGGGAACAGGTGGAGGTTAGTTACATAGATAAGTTCTTTAGTGTTGATTTCTGAGATTTTGGTGCACCTGAGCAGTGTACACCATACCCAGTGTATAGTCTTTTATCCCTCACCTCCTCCCACCCTTCCCCCCCAAGTCCTCAGAGTTCATTGTATCATTCTTGTGCCTTTATGCCTTTGCATCTCATAGCTTAGCTCCCACTTGGTGAGAACATACAATGTTTGGCTTTCCATTCCTGAGTTACTTCACTTAGAATAATGGTCTCCATTTCCATACAGGTTGCGGTGAATGCTATTATTTCATTCTTTTTTATGGCTAAGTAGTATTCAATGGTACATACATACCACATTTTCTTTATCTACTCGTTGACTGATCGAAATGTGAGCTGTTCCATATTTTTGCTCTTGCGGATTGTGCGGCTATAAACATGCATGTGCAAGTGTCTTTTTCAGACAATGACTTTTAGAAAAGAATAACAAAAATAACAAAATGTTATTACTGAAGGATGGTGGAATTATAAGTCAATATTTATAGTTTGTATTAATATTCAAATTTAAAATAAGCATAATTTACTATTATAATCAGAAAATATCTTAAAGGGTTATACATAATCATACAACCTTTTAGAAAGTTGGGAAAAGATGAAATCTCAACTGCATAACTGTAATTCAAGTCTTGATTTAATCTCTAAGCATAGGAAAACAATGTTTCTTCTCTAGATAATTCTCTTATGTGGTTTGATAAGACCGCAGTGTCATATACACACTGGAGAGCAGGAAGACCAACTATAAAAAATGACAAGTTTTTGGCTGGCTTAAGTACTGACGGCTTCTGGGATATTCAAACCTTTAATGTTATTGAAGAAATGCTTTATTTTCACCAGCACAGCATTCTTGCTTGTAAAATTGAAATGGGTAAGTATAGTAATATAGAGTTTTCTTTCACTCCAGGGAAAGAATATAAGGCTATTAGTTCCACTCGTGGGAATCATATAATCTAATGCTTCCTCTGTATACAGTCCTGTGAGAGGGGCTACAGAGCTTACTGAGGAAGGAAAAGACTTGGGTCCTGCTGTCAAGGTTTTGACCCTAGGAGTAAAATGTACTTGGGGAAGCAGTATTAAATTCCTTAGCATTGTTTTATGTAAATTCGTCTTAGATTATTTGATACAGACCTAAATTGTGGGGAAGTCAAAACTGATATATTGGAAAAGGGAAAAGAAAAAGAAAGAAAGAAAGCCTTCAAGAAGAGGTGAAACTTGGTTGGGCTTTGAAAAATGGATAGAGTTTATATAAATAAGAAAGTATTTGGGGGAAGAGTTTTGACATTCCAGGCAAAGTGAATGTCTCTCAACCTTGCCTCATCTTTAAATAAATCTAATTTTAAATACGTTAGTTTTAATTTTTTCACAGCTTAAAAGCTGTTAATTATTACCACTATGCCCTAAAACTGTCATTACCACCACTGTGCCCTAAGCTGCCTGCTCACAGGGAGCCTGTAACAGTGGTGTGCTGGCTAATCAGCTCACTTCATAGTGCCATGGTCAATTCTGAAGACCATGTCCACCAGCAGCCTCCAGGAATCCCTTTTTATAACCTACTTGGAGTCCATTTAAACTTTTGAGACTTTTAGAAACTAGTCTCTAGCCCCAATTTCTAGGCCTTCTCCTGGTTCCCTGTTTTTTCCCATTCTTGCTCAGCAAAGCAGCTTGTTCTCAATCAAGCTGGTCTCTTCTTTGTCCCAGGCAAGTTGTATGCCCATCCTCATACTTGCACCTTTATGTTTTCCTCTTGCCAAGAAGTTTTTCAACTTACTTTCTTTCTTTCTTTCTTTCTTTCTTTCTTTCTTTCTTTCTTTCTTTCTTTCTTTCTTTCTTTCTTTCTTTCTACATCTTTAATAAACTTTTCATTTTAGGATAGCTTTACATTTACAGAAAAGTTGCAAAGATAGTACAGAGCATTCTCATCTATCCCACAATCAATTTCCTCTATTGTTAACATATTACTTTAGTATGGTACATTTGTCACAACTAATAAACCAATACTGATATATTATTATTATTAACTAAAGTCCACACATTATTCAAATTTCCATAGTTTTTATTTAACATGCTTTTTCTTTCCAGGATCCCATCCAGGACCCCACCTTATCTTTAGTCATCCCTCCTCCTTAGGCTCCTCTTCATTGGGTGGTTTCTCAGACTTTTCTTATTTTTGATGGCCTTGACAGTTTTGAGGAACACAGGTCATGTATTTGATAGAATGTCCCTCAGTTTGGGTTGGCTGATGATTTTCTCATGATTAAACTGTGGTTATAAGTTTTGGGGGGAAGACCAAAGATGTGAAGCTGCATTCTCATCACTTCACATGGGCAGTATGCACTGTTCATATGACTTATCACTGTTGACTTTAACCTGGGTCACCTGGCCCAAGGTAGTGTTTGTTAGGTTCTCTGCTGTAAAGTTACCCCTTTTCCTCCTTTCCATACTGTCCTCTTTCTAAGGAAGTCACTATGTTGAGTTCACACTTACAGGGTAGAAAGTTATCCTCCACTTTCCTGTGAGGGGAGTATCTATATGAATTACTTGAAATTCTTCTACATAAGATACTTGTCTGCTTTCTCTAATTTTTCTTTTTTTTTTTTTTTTTTTTTTTTTTTTTTTTTTTTTGGTGGCTCACTCTATTGCCCAGGCTGGTGTGCAGTGGTGCCATCTCAGCTCACTGCAACCTCTGCCTCCCGGATCCCAGCTATTCTCCTTCCTCAGCCTCCCAAGTAGCTGGGATTACAGGTGCCCATCACCACGCCTGGCTAATTTTTTGTATTTTTAGTAGAGACAGGGTTTCACTGCGTTGGCCAGGCTGGTCTCAAATTCCCGACCTCAGATGATCCCCCCATCTCAGCCTCCCAAAATGCTGGGATTACAGGCGTGAGCCACCTGGCCCCAATTTTTAAATTTATTCAGTCATTTATTTATACCCTCATCATTGTGGTTTTGTTGTTATTTGTTTATTTTTTTGTTTGTAGCACTTCCATACTTTTTCCTTCCTTTTATTCTTAATTTCCTCCAATCCTCTAAATCTAGTATAGGTTCATGGTTATTTATTTTATACTTTGGATTATCATCTAACATACTGCATTCTGTAATATTTTGCTCAAGTCATTTCAGCTTTGACCATTGGGAGCTCTTTCACTTGGCTCCCATGTCCTTTAAAGTATCCTCGTCATTGTGGCTTTGTTGTTTGTGTTTGTTTTAAACACTTCCTTACTTTATTGTTACCTTATTTCTTTTCAGTCTTAATTTCACCTAACCCTTGAGAACTGGCTTGTCAAGCAGTCTTCCTGACTCCTCTCATTCAAATGAGTCTCTACTCAATTTAACATACCCTACTGGTTAACAGTTTTGCTATCATTTCAGCCATTGTTGTTTCTGTCCCCAACTAACACATGAGCTCCTTAAATAAAAAACTATGTTTATGCCTTTTTAAAATAGACCAATCAGAGATCTTTAAGAGCCTAAGATATGTGTCATTGCAATAAGAAAAATAAAATATAGATTTGATCTCCCTTATTAATAAGAAACCCAGTTTTATTTCACTATTGAAATGATTGCATGTTGTCTTATCCAAAAGGTGTATTTGAAATAATTTAAATTTTAATCACCAGTGCTTTTAATTATTATAGTTGACTACAAAGAAGAATATAATACTACACTGCCACAGTTTATGCTATATGAAGACGGTATTTATAGTGTTATTCAAAAAAAGGTAACATGGTATGAAGCATTAAACATGTGTTCTCAAAGTGGAGGCCATTTGGCAAGTGTTCACGACCAAAATGGCCGGCTCTTTCTGGAAGATATTGTAAAACGTGATGGATTTCCACTATGGCTTGGGCTCTCCAGTCATGATGTAAGTCTTGCTTCATTTTCCAGAAACTTTTCAAATCTGTTATTTTGAGGGTTAGAAACTTGAGTATAAAGTATTAATACAAAGTACAACATTAGATTAAGTACTGGAACTCCATTTGTATAGCATAGTGCTTTCTTACCTTTTACAACACAGAACAAATAGAAAAATTTTACTGTAGAATGCACTAGGGCAAATGATCAGGCCATGCCAAGGGCCCAGTGGATGAATATCTCAACAACACCTCTATAGCCTATTTAGAACAGACAAATTGGAAAGCTGGTGAAAATGAAATCACATAGAATCGGAAAACCCTAAGTTTCGGTACCAATAGCAGATTTTCCATTTATGTGCTGGGTGATCATGAATGAGCAAGTTATTTAATTTTTGCAACCTTATTTCCTCATGTAGAAAATCAGGGTAGTAATAATTTCATTGAGATTTTAACACAAAACTTTATACAATGTGCCATCTAAACTTCTCCCTGTGGTTAGGACTAATAAATATATACTTTCTTCCCACTTTTCCTCTAGAAAATTATACTACTTAAGATTAATTATGCTAGTAAACACTTATGTGCCACTATTTGAATCATATTACTTATTTACATACTTATAATGAGGTCTTGTATACAAAAAATTGTTGTCTATTGAGACTAGAGTTGTAGTTCTAATTTAAATAATCTTCAGAACAAAGTGGGGAAACATTTTTTTAAAAGAATGGCAAGATTAGGGCTGGGCGCGGTGGCTCAAGCCTGTAATCCCAGCACTTTGGGAGGCCAAGGTGGGTGGATCACGAGGTCAAGAGATCGAGATCATTCTGGCCAACATGGTGAAACCCCATCTCTACTAAAAATACAAAAATTAGCTGGGCGTGGTGGCGCGCGTCTGTAGTCCTAACTACTCGGGAGGCTGAGGCAGGAGAATCGCTTGAGCCCAGGGGATGGAGGATGCAGTGAGCCAAGATCGCGCCACTGCACTCCAGCATGGCAACAGAGCGAGACTGTCTCAGAAAAAAAAAAAAAAGAATAACAAGATTATAAATTCAAGGAAAAATAAAAAGCAGTCTTCCCATTTTGAGTTTCTTGGGAAGTGTTTATCTTTTCTAGACCCCTGCTGCTTAGTGGCCTCTGTAATGTGAAAAATGTAGCCAGAGACAAAGCACAAAACTATAAAACATAAAAAACAGTATTCAGAACAATATGAAGGTTGGGATTGTAAATCTGTAATTGTGGCAAACGGAGGCAATTTGCATGTTGTTTAATTTCAAGTGTTATGTAAACTCATCCTTAAAAATAAATCTAAAGACAAGGTATAATAACTCTGTTTCTAAGTTTAGAGTCTTCCATAAACTGTGTCAGAGCAAATGTTCCAAATCAGTGCATTGGAATTAAAGCTCTGATTTTAAAGTAGGTTCAGACCTATAATACTATAAGCAAAGAGGTAATATTCCATTATAATATTTCTTAAAGTATATATGTTATTCTTTGTATTCTTTTTGAAGTCATACATCTGGGTTAGGGTTATCTCTATTCTTCTTAAAACAGGGAAGTGAATCAAGTTTTGAATGGTCTGATGGCAGTACATTTGACTACATCCCATGGAAAGGCCAAACATCTCCTGGAAATTGTCTTCTCTTGGATCCAAAAGGAACTTGGAAACGTGAAAAATGCAACTCTGTTAAGGATGGTGCTATTTGTTATAAACCTACAAAACGTAAGACTTGAATTTGAATAACAGTACATTTACTAAAATGTGATATAATTTATGTACATAATTAAATTCTCAGTGGAATTTTTTATTTAAAGATTTATTCACAAATTCTATGAAAATAATTTTGAGGCTGGGTACAGGCTCATACCTGTAATCCCAGCACTTTAGGAGGCCGAGGCAGGTGGATCACAAGGTCAGGAGTTCAAGACCAGCCCGGCCATCATGGTGAAACCCCGTCTCTATTAAAAACATAAATATTAGCCAGGTGTGGTAGTGGGTGCCTATAATCCCAGCTATTCAGGAGGCTAAGGCAGGAGAATCACTTGAATCCGAGAGGCAGAGGTTGTGGTGAGCCAATATCATGCCATTGCACTCCAGCCTGGGCAGCAAAAGCAAGACTCCATCTCAGAAAAAAACAAAACAGAAAATAATTTTGACATGTTGTAAATGGAAACAAGTACAGTATAACCACTCAGAATTTGTTCCCAAAGACTTTCATTTGTTCTGTCACCAGGTAACTTCTACCCTAGAATTTGTGAATTCTAATTTCACTTAACAATGTTTTTCAAAGGCTGAGATGCTTCTTTCAAAAAAAGGGTCCCATAGGATATAAAATTGGGAAATACCTCATGAGATTTACTGTATTAAAGTTTCTAAGAGTTTTGTTTCTTTCCTCCCCTCCTCTCCTCTCTTCTCCTCTTCTTTCCTTTTCTTTTCTTTTTTTGACAGGGTTTTTTGCTCTGTTGCCCAGGCTGAAGAGCAGTGGCATGAACATGGCTCACTGCAGCCTCAACCTCCTGGGCTCAAGCAGTTCTCCCACCTAAGCTTCCCAAGTAGCTGGGACCACAGGCACATGCCACCACACCCAGCTAATTTTTAAAATATTTTGTAGAGACAGGGTCTCACCATGTTGTTCAAGCTGGTCTTGAACTCCTGGGTGCAAGCAATACTCATGTCTCAGCCTCCCAAAGTACTGGGATTATAGGTGTGAACTACCATGCCCGGCCAAAGGTTCTAAGAGACTTTCTATAAAAATGAAGTCTGTTTAACTTTGTGTAACCCAGCATTTTCCAAACTTATATGATCCTTAAAATTTAAGGGGAGAGCCCCTTCCATTAGAGAATGGACTTAGGGTCACCCCAGTGGATGAAGCATAAACCTTGAAGAAGATCACAAAAAAACAAACTACTGGGGGTGGCAGGGGCCTGCAGGACAAGCAGGGAGGTAGTGGCGTTGTTTTCTGAAGCCTCTGGCTCTCAGTGCTGGCCACGTTTTCTGCTGTGAAGAATCTTGAACAGCAGATTCAACATTTGTTTGAACAGATTCAGCAAAAGAAAATGTGAAAACTTTAGAGAAGCAGGTTAATAAAAGAAAGGGAGAACAATAATAAAGAATGAGGAATCAAGGTGCAATCAAGAACTGACTTCTCAGTTGTTAGACACAGAAAACAAATGTAACTTTTTAGAAAAACAATTGGAATACATAAGAAATAAGGCATGCAGAAGTGGAAATATCTGTCTTGGAGAAACAGACTTTACAGGTTGGAGAATAAGGTGACCAGACATAAGTTATGTGCTCTCCCAGGTTGAATAGTGGCTCCTCCCCAAAGATTCTTGTCCAATTGGAAACTTAGAATTGGCTTTATTGATAAATAGAGTCTTTGTCAATCTAGGTAGTTGAGTTAAGGACATATTATGGTGGGCCCTAAATCCAATGACTAGTGTTCTTATAAGAGGGAGATCAGATACACAGAGGGAAGAAGGCCACGTGATGTCAAAGGCTGAGATTGCAGTGACGGAGCAACAAGCAGTGACAGAGTGACAAGCCAAGGATTGTTGGCAACCACCAGAAGATGAGAGAGAGGACCGAGACAGATTCTCCTTTGGAGCCTCCAAGGAGAACCAATCCTAACACCCCCTTCAATTCAGACTTCTAGCCTCCAGAACTGTGAGAGCATACATTTCTGTTGTTTTAAGCCACCAATTTTGTAGAATTTATTATGGCAGCCCAAGGAAACTAATACAAGAGCTAACTTTAAAAACCAGATCTTCAAAAAAACCAGAGAATAACAAGCATTAGTGAGGATGTGGAGAAAATGGAATCCTTATGCATTGCTGGTAGAAATATAAAACAGTGTAACCACTGTGCAAAATGGTATGGCAATTTCTGAAAAACATATTCATAAGATGACTATGTCATCCAGCACTTCAGTATATACTCAAAACAACTGAAAGCAGGGATTCAAAGAGGTGTTTGTACAACCATGTCATAGCAGGGTAATTCATAACAGTCAAAAGATAAGGGCAATCCAAGTTTCCATGGATGGACAAATGGATAAGAAGCCTTAAAAAGGAAGGAAATTTGGTGACTGGGTGCAGTGACTCACACCTGTAATCCCAGCATTTTGGGAGGCTGAGGCAGGTGGATCATGAGGTCAGGAGTTCAAGACTAGCCTGGCCAACATGGTGAAACCCCATCTCTACTAAAAAAAATAC